CACTCCCTCACTCACCCCCACCCTATCTCCCCCAGTCCACTCCCAAAGACACACATGCTATAAACCATCACGCCCATTTAAGCAGGGGTAAGCGAGCGAGGCTGATTCAAGACGAGGTAAATTCAGGGGGCGGGGGGGAAAGGGAGAGGTAAATTAGGGTGAGGACATGGGTAGGGGAGGCTGAGGGTAAAGGGAGGCTGAGGGTGAGGGGAGAGGGCCGAAGGTAGTTTATAGGGACAGAATGTTAGGCCTATGCAAGGGAGAGCTCTTTTTCTCCCCTTTCCCCTCGCCCTGCTCTCATTTGCACCCTTTCCTTCCCCTCCTTTTCTTCGTTCCCCTTTTCTCTCTTCCTTCTTTATCCTTCCCTCTTCCCTTTCCGTCTTGAACTTCCCTTTGCTCTAGCCTATCCCCACCTCCCCTTCTCTCTCCCATCCTACCCCCTCCCTTCGTCCTTACCCCCTTACCCCTTCCACCTTTTCTCCCTACCTCTCTCTCCCTCCAGACGTTGAGGGTGGAGGCAAGGCGAGGCAAGGCAGTTAGGTTAGGGGTGGGAATAAAGGCAGGGTAAGGCCAGACGAGGAATGACAAGATAGAGTAAGAAATAAAAATCAGAAAAAAACCTAGGTTTGGCAAGCGAGACGAGGGGACAAAAAGGCGAGGCAAGGCGAAGCAAGGGACGGCGAGGCCTCGAGGCTTGCGGCTGGTCACGTCTGTATGGCTTCCCCCGGCACTCCCTTAGGGGGGGGGCTAGGACCAAGGGGAGAAGGGGACGTGGAAGGGGTTAGGGGAAGGGGAAGGCCAGGGGGAAGGGGGAGGGCCAGGGGAAGGGGGAGGGGGGAAGGGGGAGGGAGGGGGAAGGGGAGGGCCAGGGGGAAGGGGGAGGGCCAGGGGAAGGGGGAGGGCCAGGGGGGAGGGGGAGGGCCAGGGGGGGAGGGGGAGGGCCAGGGGGGGAGGGTCAGGGGGGAAGGGGGAGGGCCAGGGGGGAAGGGGAGGGAGGGGGGGGGAGGGGGGGGGGGGGGGAAGGGAGGCCAGGGGGAAGGGGGAGGGCCAGGGGGGAAGGGGGAGGGCCAGGGGAAGGGGGAGGGGGGGGAGGGGAGGGCAGGAAGGGGGAGGGCCAGGGGGGGGTAGGGGAGGACAGGAGGTTCAGCCTCCCCCCCCCCCTCTCCGCCACCCTTTTTCCCCTGGAGCTCACCTGAGGAGCGGGATAATAAACAGGGGGAGGGGGAGGGGGTAAGGGGGAAGGGGGTGGCAGATAGGGCCTAGAAGAGATGAAGTGGAGGGATGATAACAGGAGGAGAGAGAGAGGAGAGAGAGCATCAGCTGCGCTGCAAGGAGGAAGAGGAGAGAGAGAGAGCATCAGCTGCTGCCAGGGGAGGAGGAAGAGGAGGAAAAGAGGATGATGATGGTGGTGGTGGTGATGATGTTGTGGTGGGATGACCCCTTCCCCGCTAGCCTTCAATAAACTTCACACGGATTGCGGTGTGTCATCTCATCCTTCGAACACGCTCCCCATCCTCATCCTCGTCCTCGTCCTCGTCCTCGTCCTCACTCACGACTCATTCTCTCGCCCCCTTTCCCCTTTCTCTCCTATCCCTCCCTCTCCCCTTTCTCCTTCCCCCCTCCTCTCCTCCCTCATATCATACCTACTTTCCCCTCCTCCTCTCCCATTTATCCCTTCCCCCCTCCACTCCCATTATCCCGTTCTCTCGTCTCCCACTTATCCTCCCTTCTTCTCTCCCACTTATCCTTCTTCCTCCTCCTCTCTCCATTTCCCCTTTTCCCTCCTTTCTCCCACTTATCACTTCTTCCTCCTCCTCTCCCATTTCCCCCTTTTCCCCTCCTTCTCTCCCACTTATCCCTTCTTCCTCCTCCTCTCCCATTTCCCCCTTTTCCCCTCCTTCTCTCCCACTTATCCGTTTCCCTCCTCTCCCCATCCCATTCCCCTCTTCCCCTAACAACAGCGCCACTCACCGGGCAACACCACGCAAAGCCACACACCACACACCACACCCCTCCCGACGGCCACACGCCACTCTTCCATTTTCTCCATTTCGCTTCATCTCTCTTTTTTTTCGCTTTCCATTCCCCCTCTTTCCCCCCCCTCTCTCCTTTAGCCTTTGTTTTTGTCTCTGGCCCACAGTACTCGTTTCTGTCTGTCTGTCTGTCTGTCTGCTTGTCTGTGTGTGTTGTGTGTGTGTGTGTGTGTGTGTGTGTGTGTGTGGTGTGTGTGGTGTGTGTGTGTGTGTGTGTGTGTGTGTGTGTGTGTGTGTGTGTGTGTGTCTGTCTGTCTCCCATCTCTCCCTCTATACGTATATATATCCATATCTTTTTCTATTAACTTTTGTCTTTCCCTCTCCTTTACCCTAATCATCTCTCAATCTCTCCTTCTCCACCTCCATCTCCCTCTCCTTCTCCTTCTCCCTCTCCATCCCCATCTTCCTCTCCATCTCCTTCTCCCTCTCCTTCCAAGAGTCCCCATCATCCGGGAACTTCACTCACA